TTTCCAATTTTTTTCTGGAAAAGTTATTGCCAAAGTTTCCCGGGAAATTTCGGACCTCAATATTCCCAGTCACCATCGCCCTCCTGAGGCCGGAGGTCGGACGTCCTCTTCGTGGTCGTCTTCAGCCTCCTGACGTCGAGGGGGAGCGGCGGGGAGGCCTGCGCGCTGCGATGCTGCATCGCCGAGTCAGCCGAGGCCGAGGCCGTGGCCGCACAGAGGAAGGTGCTGACCGGGCGCACGACCTACGCGTCCGCCTCCGCCGGGGAGCAGTAGTGCCGGGGCTCGGAGCACGACGCCACTGTCCGGCAGGGTTCCGGGGCGCGCACACCCGCCTCCATCGCCATGGTGCTCCCGCAGACTGTGCTCCTGTGCCACACCTTCCAGACCGTGCTGGGTGAGTAGCGTGGGGTCGTATGACCTATAGGGGGATACAAATACGTATGGTGGGATCCTAACAGGAGCAACACCAACATTGGTAGAGATGCATAGTTGGACCCCATACCAGGTGGCTGATTCACGCCGCGCACTTCTGTAGGTATACTGTACCGCATGCACGAGTGCGGGCGGGCTTGCCTATCGCCCCTGTCCACGGCGCCTTTGCGAGCCGAGCGAATAGACAACCCGCCCGCACTCGTGCATGCGGTACAGCATAACTACAGAAGTGCGCGGCGTGAATCAGCCACCTGCTGATCATCACGTGGGGTACACATATCTGAAGGTTGCCAACAACTCCAATTACTGTGGTCCTGGATTTGTGTATCCTGAAGTATTTTGTATCCCTGAAAGCGACGTAGTATGGGAACGACTCCGACTCCTATCCGTAGTCATCGGGATGCTTGAGTGTTTGTTTCCAAAATTCAGTGTCTCGATGAATCTTTCTTTCAGTATAACCTTTTTCATTTAACGATTGTCTTTGTTTTGCGAAAATAACAAAGAGTTTGTGGAGAAACTTACCAGGACTTTATCTGCCAAATCACTATAAAATCCCCTACAGTGCACCTAGAATGCCATACCAAGATTACCCGTAGATTACCAAGCGACTTATTTATTTGATTTAAGTACCATGATCCTTTTCTTCCCCAGCTGGCACTCCGTATGTAGTGTCGCTGCTCCCCCGGGGGGACTGCCACGCCTGCTGCGAAACACTCGAGGACGACGTCCAGTTCTACCAACACCTCCGGTGAGTGTCCACAACCACTGTCCTGTTCCTTAGGTACAGAGCCAATGTAAAATCCAAAAATCTCCAAATTCACGTCTTTTTAAAAATGATTTTAAAATTTGAGATCGATTTTTGCAAAATAATGTATGGACTCAGTGTAAATTCTCATGTTAAACCAACAACGATTACTTTTTAGAGTGCGTGAGCCTTGTTCCTTTTTTGTATTATTTATTTTTTGTCGGTGTCGATGGCCCGATTACCCCTGTGGGCGTTGTGGGGAGGTTCGTGCATTCCCGGAAGCCCCCACGCGTCACGTGGCGCCGCCGCCGGCCAATTCGTTCCCCTTTTCATTATTTTGTGTTGGGAAACGTTCGCGCCAATAATTCATTATTCCTACGTGGCTGTGTCAGTGAACAGGTTTTTTTTCCTTAAATCTCTAAAGTCGTCATATATTCAATACGAAAAACATTCGTCAAACTTAAATCTCCCCTTCACACTGATAAATCAAAGTAGTGCGTCCGATACAAGAGGGAAGAGTTGAACAGTAAAAATGAGCACTACTAACCTTTATGCATTATTTTGTGTTTAAGACCATAGCAAAGTTATGTACAATTTGTTCATAATTCTGCATAAAAGTCATGCTTCGAGCATACGTATGGCTGTATGAAATTCTACCTGTCTATGCACTACCAAATGTACAAGGGTTAGGTGTGTACGAGAAGTTCCCGACTTGGTTGGGGCGCCTGCGGTGCGCTGGGTAGGCTTCGCCGCCGACAGCCGCGCGCCCGAGTGGCCTACCCACACCCTCCCCACAGCAAGGCCAACACCAGCCCAGCCCCGCCACACACTAAATTGTGTGTGTTTGTTTTGTGTACCTGCACGTATAATTGCGTACAATTTTGTACGAAATCATGAACAAATTTTTTTAAAAAAAATATTTGCATCTATAAGGGTTTTGTCCAGATAACTGCGTCCAAATAATTTGCAACTAGGTACACACAGAAGTACGTATAAAGTGCATAAGAAAAAAAAGTTCATAAACAATTTTGCAAGTAGATGTGGTCCCTCTCGGGGTCCCCAGCGCCCAGCGTGTAGCGTGTACCATAATGGGTCCGAGCAGGTCAGCGCGAGCGTCCAGACAGCATTGTCGCATACGTGGCAGCGGCAGCCCCTCTCGTCAGCTGCAGATTCATCAGGGGGCCCCCATGCGCCCTCAGTTAGCGGTGCGCCAGCCGGACACGGTGTGACAGCGTTACGCGAATTGCAGGTTGTTCCGACTGTGTCGGCAATTTGCGTCTGAGTGCTATTGTTTCATCGAAATAGAAATATGGCTGTCGGTGAGGTTGAATGAGTTCTTCTTTAGTTGCGAGTCGCATATTGTGCGGACGCCACATTCTCGGTGCTTGCAACATGATTGCCATTGTTGTTTAGGTATCGAGGAGGAGAAGGGAGGAGTCGAAAGGGGGAGGGGGGTTGAGACATGAGAGTTCGAGGTAGGGGGGGGGGGTGAGAGCGCGGAGAGGCCTAGCTGCCGCGGTGCGCGCCCCTCCCTCGCGGTCCACTTCCTCGGCGTCCTCCGCGCCGGGTCAGGTTGGGGGTAGCAGAGTCTGCTCGGGGGGGCCTGGTGCCGGCTGGGGGCCCCGAGGAGTGGGCGGCCCCCTCTATTGATCACGGGGCCCCTCCCCACCCCAACCCTCGACACGTCCGCACCCCGCCAGATCCGCCCCCCCAGCACGGGGGGGCGAGAACGCCCGAGGAAGGGGGTGGGGGGCTTCGGTTGCACCTGCCGCAGCCAAGCGATGTTGGCTGTTGGCGACCAAAGCCCTGCAAATTTGCTTTTTCTGGCCCGAAGAAAGGCGATTTTGCAGAGCTATGCGGTATCATGACGACGGCTGGGCTGAGCTGCGACACTCGTTCCGCAAAACTCACACTTCTGTCTCCCCACGTTCGCCTTCCCTGCCTCCACTGGCTTATGCGGACTGCGTGTACACTGCAAAACATTAATTCTGTTCGCTTTGTAAAAGAGTTTTCCGTTGTTTCGTCGTTGTTGTTTTTTGTATGCTTGTTTTACACTTACTTTTTTTTGACGTTTTTTTTAAAAAAAAATTAGCAACGAAGCTTACCTCACCAACAAACAGACGTTGGCCAAACTCTCCCTGATGCTTGTCGCCGTTTATCGTAGACAATGAAGGCCTCGTATAGTCGGCGGGAGCGCGAGGAGAGTGTATGGGTCTGAAGCAGTGGCGCAGATCAGGAGTGCCGGCTGGGGGTTTTAATTTTACGGAAGAATACTGTCGGAACAGGAATTT